ATAAAATAAAAATTTTTAATTTATTTTACCTCTATGCCAAGTTAAGGGGGGTCGGTTACTTATGATTTGTACTGTATATATAAGTTTGAATTTCTTCTTCACTATATTGTAAATGCTTTCTTAATAATTTGACTAATTGATTTGTTGTTTCTATTACTGATTTTCCAGTATAAGTTTCTTCAAATAATAATAAAAATTTTTCTCTTATATCTTGAAGTTGTTGTTTAGTGAGATTTTCTTTTAATTCTACTCTGTCTCTTAATTCTTCAAAAAATTAATTTACTTTAATAACAATAAATTTTGTTGGATCCAATTTGATTTATTAGTTTGGATAATTCATCCACAAAGAATTTGTTTACTAATTAATTTGTTGTATTTAATACCTTTAAAGATTTCTTTTTCACAGAGGAAGCACCAATTTTTGTTACTGTTTTAATTTAACTTTATATTTCATTATGAGAGTACATGTAATAAAGTTAAATAAAAGAGTCAACATATTAAATAACTTTAAAGTTGGAAGAGTTTACTAAGTTATCTAAAGGTAAGTAATATATATTCATTTTGTTTATTAGCTAAAATGAGACCAGAAAAATTCAAAGGTAATTGTGTCTTTATCATTCAATCTATAATAAGTTGAGTGTTTTTTCAAAGTTGATTTATAAACAAGTAAGATGTAATTTTTTTATTAATTCAATATTATTATTAACTTCGCAATATAGATGAAAGATCAAGATTATATAAAATAATATATCTTCACAATAGTAATAAAAGATTATAAAACAAATACAAGAATAACTTTGCAATTAAGATAAGAAATTATGAAAATACTATCTAAAGGATTATAAAACTTAATGGATTTATTATTTATTGATTATTAATTTTTTTTAAGCTAAAATACAAGCTGTATTTATAAGTATTTGATAATTGTAAAATGATCATTTGAATAATTATTCAGAGTGTTTGAAATAATTATTTACAATAATCATTCAGAGTACTTGAGATGATCAATTGAAATAATCATTTGAAATAATCATTCAAAGTGATCATTTGAAGTGATTATATGAAACAATCACGTGAAATAATTGTTTGTGATTATGAAAAATATCTAATCACAATAATAATAATTAAAATAATCAAAATAATAAAGATTATTTATATAATAATCAAATTAAATTCAATAAGTTGATATATATTTTAGTTAAGTTCAATAACTTTTTTTAAGTTTTTTTAATAAATAAAATTCTTTAATTAAAATTATTTTTATATTGGTTTTGGTTTTAAAAAGATAATTTGCTTATAATAAATTACTTTGTTATTTAACTTATACTTAATTATTTTTCAAAACTTATTAGCTTGTATTATAATTTATAAAGATTATATTATAACTTATTGAAATTAGTAAAGCTATTTGATATCATTTTAGCTTATTAACAAAATAAATACTTGTTATTTATTTTTAAGCTATAGATTCAAGTCTCTTTTTCACTTTTAACTTAATAAATAAAAAATGGAAACAAAATGCAAGTTATATATACTTGAAAATTATTGATTGCAAAGAATTCATAATGATTGGTTTTTCAGGCTTAATAAAAAGCTTTTACATCTAGAAAAAATGATGCTCCAGATCACTAAAATCACACTCATTTCTTCATTTTGCATTTTAGCAATATCAAGTCCGGACTGTATGTTTTTATTATTCTAAGAGTCCATAAATACATTTATATTCATTTTGTAAGACTAAGACATAGTTGAAAAATCGGTTTGGTTTTTCCAAAATTATTTGATTATTTGATCGAAAAAGAGAAAATTATCTATGTAATTCTAAAATAAAGTAAGTTTGTTGTTTTTAAATATTTTAACGATATAGTATGTTAATCTCGATTGTTTTATAAATCTCTATTTTAAGAACTCGGATTTTGTTGCTGTTGCTGCTGCTGTACTTGTGCTGCTCGTGCAGCTAGCTGCTGCTGTCGCTGGAGCTGGAGGTCTCTTAAAAGATCTGCAATTATTAAAAATTTATGATTAATCAATTGGATTTTTGTAGTTCCTTCAACCCAAAAAATGAGGAATAAAACACTTGCTAGGATTTTGAGCAAGCCGTTGCATAACTCCAGGATGCATAATTGGAGGATTCTGAGCAGCAGCAAACTGTTGCATTAACTGATACATCATTTGCTGTTGTTGTTGGGTTTGTGGCTGTGCTTGTTGTGGTTGTTGCTGCTGTTGTTGCTGCTGCTGCTGTTGCTGCTGGTGCTGCTGCTGTTGCTGCTGCTGCTGCTGCTGCTGTTGTTGCTGCTGCTGCAACTGTAACATTTGCTGTTGTTGTAATAGTTGTTGTTGTAATAGGTAATTTTGTGGCTGCAGTTGCTGTTGTGGCTGTTGCGATTGTTGTTGCTGTTGTGGAATCGGCATTGGTCGATCCAGGAATAGCATGCCAACTAGCCGACTAAGATTATGGAACAGAACCATACCACTATTTTGAATTGGTGAATTTGGAAACCGAACACATGCCGCCTAATAAATAACCAAAATAAATAAATAAATAAATATAAAAAAAATCAAAACATTTTTTTTACTAAACGCGAATTCATGAATTTTTACCAGTTCTCGTCTAAACAAGTTATTAAGCAACATGCTAAATGAATTTTGATTTTCTGCGCCAGATTGTGGTGATGGAATAAGCGAGACAAAAGGACGACTGCCAGCGTCCCGTTGTATGTCTTTAGCGGGAAGCACAGCAAAAATCTCCATTTTTTCCGGCCAAATTGGAATATTACTATTTATTATAATCAAAATTAAGAGTGATTAAATAATTATGATTTATACATAGAAAGAGATAGTATTAGGAACAGCAAAAAAAGACTTACAAATCAGATAGAGTAAGAGCTTTAGTTTTATCAATCATTGGATACGCGTTCACTATACAATTTAATTCGCGTCTTGCGCCTTGAGGACCACCAGTATACCAAAGTATTTGCCCACTCCATAATGACGATGTCATTTGTTTTTGTTGCTGCTGTTGTAGATTTACCATATTTAATTGATTTATAAGATGAGCTGGAATATTATGAAGTCCTGCTGCTGCTGCTGCTTGAATCTGTGCTCCAGTTGGGTTGGTCGGCAATTGTCCTGCAAATGACAACACAGATGATGGATTTTGTGCAGCAGCTGCTGGTATCGAAAGATTCGACGGATCAATTGCATTGATTGAGTGCTCAGCGACTTTCTTCATGACATTTTGTTGGCTTTGAGCATACTGTTGTTTCAGCATGTTGTTCTTTTGTTGGATCAACGTTAAAGTACCAGGTTGCTGCCTATAGATACTGCTAGTTTGTTGCTGTTGTTGCTGCTGCACATTTAACAATTTCTTTTGGTCCATTAACCGTGCATTTATTGGGATTTTGGCCATTTGTGGATTTTGTTGCATATTGCGGATTACTTGCATTCTTTGTTGTGGCTGTGTGCCTGTTTGTTGCTGTGTGCCTGTTTGTTGCTGTGTGCCTGTTATTATCTGCGGGGATAAATTCGCGAATAGATTTGGAGAAAGATGCATTGGAACATTTATCGGAATTGGTTGTACCGACATTGCAGGAGATACTATAGGAGTTGCTGTTGCCGCTGCAGCTGCACCTTGAGGAGCTACAGTCGCAGTTGTAAGAATTGGTGTGGTTTGCATAACCGCAGGAATAGGTGAAGTGTGGGTAGTAGGGGCAGGTGGTGGTGTCATAGCAATTGGTGATGAAACAAGAACAGTTGGTGGAATTGGAGATGGATGGGCAACAGGAGATGATCTTGCCGAAGGAGGTTGAAGTTTTTGATTGGTCATTAATGGAGTCTTCTTTGCTCTATTATTAGAATTTGCTTGTTGTAAATTTGGCGAAGAAGCTGGCGACTGGCGCACTGATGTTGGTGTTGGTACTTGTGAGGGATTATTTGTTTGTTGTTCATTTTTTTCATGATCCACTTTTTGTTTTTTTGTGACTGGTTGTCCAGTATGATGAATATCTCCGGATTCTTCACGTTTAAATATATTAAGCCCTAAAATTCATGTAAGAGCACCAGGAATTGAAATCAATTATTTTACTTCTGAATTGTAGTATGTATATGAAAAAATTACCCTCGTGAGCTTTGGGTTCTGGCAATTTGATTCCTCCTGCTAACATTAGTATATGTGACGCGTCTACACTTTCTGCAGTCTCCATTTGATTACGCTTATTGACCTTATATGCAAAGAAAAAATAAATTTCAATTTTGGATAGAATACGATGATGACCTTTGGCTATTTTTCCTCATGAGAAAAAAAGTTGAATAAGACACACCTTCTTCACAATATCTTCCAGTTCAGGTTTCTCACCTTCCGGCGCAATCAATGACAAGAAAATATCCTGATTAGCCATCTCCTCGCAAATCTGACCAATCGTGAAATTATCATACTTTTCATCGAAATTAAAATGAACTGGGTCGGCTAGCGGTTCACTATTTGAAATAAGAATGCAATGTCGTTTTGGTTCAAAAAGTGGTGTTGTTGCATTACTGGCACTACTATCACTTCCTCCCCCTCCACCAATGCCATCATTCTTTCGTAGCTTATGCTGTTCAAACATTTCCAAAGCAGCAACCAATCCCTCCGCCACAGCATTCTTCGACATCCCCCCGTGCTTAAACTCTAGCTCCTTTAACTGTTCCAAAAACTTCAATTTATCCTGCGAAAAATATCTTGATTCGACAGGCACTGCAGAGAACGGTCTGTAATGATGAAATACTACAAGTCCACATTTCAATGTCGGTATTTTCCGCTCTGGTGATGTTTTTTCCTCGTTTTCGAATAGTATCGGTTTCGACAGTTCTATTAAAATATTTTCGAGAAAGGTGTTGACGAGGGTGTGAAAATGATCGGCAAGACGGTAAGTTCCGTCCACAACTAGGACTACAAGGACTTCTGGTGTGTTGTGGATAGTGGATTTTCCTGGCATTACTATTTGTTGCAATAGTTATTGTTCTTTAAGATTATTTAATGGGTTATTATTGTGTGGATATGGTGTCAAGTGAATATTTGAAATTTTGGGGGTCAAAATTGGTAAACACACATACATATGGCGGGATTTGATTCCACAACCGATTTAACTCCAGCCAAAAACTACCGCATACTAATTTTCTTAATAGTGGTCGGAGTATCAATCCGAAAATATACATTGTCCCCAATCGTTGATCACCTGATTTTCACTCACATGCAATCTTATACTGTGCCACAATCATAGGAGGACTTTCGTGTGATTGGCTGATGTAAATCAATTGTCCGGGGTTGTCCGGATAATTTATTTATATACT